TATCAAGGACACTTCCGCGTTTTTGTGTGTATACAGGAATGTTAAAGATATCATTGAGGAAAACGAGGTTGACGTGACGTGATTGAATCAGGGAATCCGTGTGTCCACCACGGGAGAGGACCCTAATTGACTTTACATTGGTATTGTTTTCGTGGTGGCAGCACGTAATTTCAACCCATTACGTGCTGCCACCACGGAATGCGGTGTTAATAGGTCGTGGTCATTTCACGTATTTCTGTGAGATCAGGTTGGTATAGGTAGGGGGGCGGGGTGCGAGTGTGACGGGGATGAGAGCTGTGTGAGTGCACATGCTGGTGTGTGTATGAGCGAGCTGGAGGAGAGAGCAGGAGTGCACAGCTGGAGTTACAGCTAAGTTCTTGTTTGTTGGTTGTTTTGGTGTAGTTATGGCCAACAGTAACCTGTACTGTTCAGTAATAAAAGGTGGTTTGCTGAATAACTGCATCATCCTTTCCACACATCCTGGCGGATGCTACAATATGTTATAGCTCATCTGTGAGATATAACATTATGTTAGGAGTGTTTTATCTCTAATTGTTTTGGTAACACGAGCAAACATTAGCACAGTAATGCTAAAATAACACGTTTCATGTGATAGTCACGGCACAGTGCGGCAAATATAGGTTGGTACTATTATAATATATGCGTCTCCAGAGTGTTCTTCCACAGGAGTTTTTTCCACCTGGAATAAGCAACGCCGAGATTCACTCGCGTTTTGTCCCGTCCTCGCTTGTCTGATCTTCTTCTTTTATTTGGTGGCCTGGTTTCCCTCTTACGGGGCAAAACATGTGTGTGGTCCTCCATTTAAAGTGCGACAGAATCATAAAAGTACAAAGCAGGTTCACGCAGAAGCACCCCGGATTGAGCTTCACCTTCTCTGTCTCCAGTGACGGCAAGTTCTAGGCGAAGCGTGTGTATCTCTTTCGGCCACTGTATTCAAATATGGCGACGCAAGAAGGCAGCCTCCAGCATACCGCGCCCTGCCTGTGTATATATATATGTAGAGAAATCATTCTAAGCCTATGAGAAAGCTTCCATTTGTATGTGAATTGCATTACACTTTGGTAAATATATATTTATGAAAGCAATAGTTGATATTTGCTAATAAACAACCACGTAAATTACACATTGTAACTTTAATGTTAATGTTATTTTAAAATTTAAGTCTCTTAATGAGCAACTTTTTCAAAATGATTCAAGTAATTATTTTCAGGCACTAAGTTATTTTCAGAATGTTTCTCATTATTCTGAGAGACTAACTCAATATTTTCAGATAGTGGAGACCTGGGCCAATTGTAACAAAATTTTCCTTAATAATAATATGTTTATAACACCGATGCTGCAGCAGATAAAGGTGGTCATTTTAATAACTTAAATACTGCTGGGTGGCTTATTATAACCTGTAATAATATAACCTAACAACAAATTTATTTTATTGTACAAAAGTACTGTAACTAATAGGCCAAACTAAATCTTTAAAATAAAAGTAGTGCAATAAAAGTGTAATATTCGCATCTGAGACAGTGGAGTAGATTAATAATGTAGCATAGAATGGAAATACTACTAGGTAAAGTACAAGCACCTCTAAATCTTTGTTAGTTTTTGTGTTTCTGTGAGGGAAGCGCCATCTCATGGTGACACCTTGTAATTGAATAAATGGGCGTGTTACAGTGGAATCTAGGCACACCCCCAGAAAGGTGGAGGGAATGGTATTTGGCTGGAAATTGGGAGGACATTGGCAGGCTTCTGGAAGGCTTTCGGAAGGCCTGGGAAATCTGAAGTGGCTGCAACTGTACCTAAATACATTTAAGTACATTTAAGTGCTGTACTTTAGTACAATTTAAGTGTACTTGTACTTTACTTGAGTGTTTCCATTTTCTGCTTTGACATACTTCTACTCCACTATATTTCAGAAAAATATATTGTACTTTTTACTCCACTACATTTATTTATCAGCTAATTTATAGTTACTGGTTACATTTCAGTTAAATTTTATACAGTACATCAACTACACGAACAGTTAGAATTGCTATCTTTACATTTTAAAAATGCCCAGCTCAAATAAAATGTCCAGATGGCTGGAAAGCCACCGTAAATGGGCAGTATGGAACTACTTCTTCAGAGATAGTGATTTAGTTGTGTGCAAATACCTGCAAAGATAAGCCAGGGATCATTTGTTCATTTCTAGACTTGTTAGACAGTGTATAGTCATGTTAAATATTTAACAAAGTTATTTAACTTTGTAACTGTTTTTTTTTTGTTTTTGTTTTTCTTACCCTTGAGCAGACATATTAGTGTAAAATTGGTGAACAATCCAACTCAAAAATTCACTACATATCAGTTATCGGTTATTTTTTCACCTCTAAAATTGTTATTGTTCTCAAAAATCCTGTATTGGATGGGCACTAGTTTCGAGAAACAAAGGTCTTTGACTTAGCCACAAGATGAAGAAGGGCAATTTTCTTTCTGTCTTTCCCAGTACTGATTTATTTCTTATTTCAATTTTGTGAGTTCATGTCAAGAAGTCAACAGAGGCAGTGAATGTAACTGCTGTTTAAATTGAGTTGGCCATTTCAAGAAAGAAGAAGAAACTGCCTTAACTTGTGAATATAATACAATTAATACAAACATGACCATAGAGTGTCCCAGGAATGAGTCCTGAAACCTGGGAATTAGTTCTCCTTTTAGTACTCTCAGTTTCCTTATCTCGAAGCAAATGTGTTCTTTAAATGTGTTTTTGGTTTGATGCCTGAAATAAGTTCTGTGGTTAACACAAGCTCAAGAGACTTTCACATTGTGCTCTACGTCATAGAATACATCAGCAAATACCCCACTCATGAATCTCGTCTTAAAAAAAGGCTTGCTAAAAAGTGGCTAAATGAGACTACAGAACATCATCATGCTGAACACAGCTTTACAGCCATGCTGTGGGGTCACTGTTCAGTCATGTGACCAGGGCGTAGTTCGTTTATAGCCTAATGTTAGCTTTTTACTTCTGGCCATTGCATTTAGGCTTCAAAAGTCATAAAGTAGTGGTCATTTGTGAATATTATCTTGGTTAATAAAGCGTGCAACTATAATAAACTTTTGTTTGCCACAGAACTTATTTTTTGCAATGATCGAGCAACAGACGCAGAGACCAAGTCACACTCCAGTGTGAACTTTTGGTACTACTTGAATAAACATTCCCCCACCCACTGGCCAGCCAGTTACCCACAGAAACTAGCTGGAAATGACTTCAAATCCCACTCAACTTTGATTTCTACAAAAATGTAGTTTGGATTTTGTCTTACTAATAGTGTATTATTATGTGTATGTGTATATAACATTATGTTTTTGACTTGGTTAGACTTTTGTTCCACTACCTTTAAGCTAGGAGGTGTACCAATAACATAATTCCACCATCTTCACTTTCACTCTCAAAACCCTAACTACTATCAAAAATACACAATTCATGCAACTGTCAAATCGGAATATTTTTCATTAAAAGAGTAACAGCATCCAGGTGTTGAACCTGCCCGTCTATGGACAGGAGGTGACTGACTCTGCCCCCCAAAACTCCCCCAAAACAGACCAAAACCAAAAATCATCTCTTATCTGAGTAACCATGCTTGTTTGCTTTTCTCTCATGGTTCTTTCTTTTTGCCCTCTTCTTGCTTTCATCTCTGTCTTCCTGCCCTTGTTGCTATGCTGGGTGGAAGGTTGCTCTTTGCTAGTCTGAAGATGTCATTTGGAACGAAAGAGGTGAAACCTCCTAATCTACGTCATGAGCTAAAAATCAAAACTAGGAGAAATTAAACACGCTTTAGTCAAAATTCAAACTACTAGTGGAAAAAATCTTTGAAAATGCAAAATGGGGAAAATGAGCTAGCCATATAAGATATCTAACCATGACACCAAGTGCAATCAGAATTAATGTGCAGAGGCATTTTGGATTCAATGGGATGGAAAAAACATGGATAAAGGTTACGTATCTGCAGTTTTACTTACTGTAAGACTGCCTTTCCAAGAGGGTGCTGGCTACATACCTGGTGACAAGCACGGCAGTGTCCACTGGCGGAATGTCATCTCTTCCACCAGGAATGTGGTTGGTACCAAGGTACCGTGCCCCAAACTCTTGATACTGCCAATGACAGAAGCTCTCCAGAGATCTTTCTCCATGATGGCCCACCTTTAGCTTTTCCTGAAGAGCAAATACAGAGCAGATCACCTCTCTTAGTACTATGTCTCCTTTTGCTTTAACCCTCCTTTTAATGATCCATGCTGTTTGAACACATTCTCAAATAGGTTCAACAGTTCAAATTGATAACATTTTATCATGGCTTGTCAAAAAAATTCAGAAAGAAGAAATATAACACACACTACATTTAACAATTCTTTGATACACATTACATGTTGACAATTGTTTCTTTAATTATATGAACATAATACAGGAACTTTTAACTTTCTGTAAATAGTCTTATATCTTGGTGTATTTTATAAGAGTAAATATTAGATGAGCAACAAGCTACCTGAGCAGTTGACCCACCTCCTGTCAGTAATCAGGTTCCAAACAGCATGTTAGCAGCTCTCTGAGGTTGTACTTAGACACAGCTTTGTTCTCAGCTAAATGCTGTTGGGATTCACTGGACCATAGATGATTTGTCATTTGTTAAAATCTTAACTGGACATGTGAATGTTTCTCCTCTTGATTTAATGCTGTTTACTGAGTTATTGTTGTGACTGTTTGCAGTTAGGTTATTGGTTAGTTGGCTTTGGCAATGCTAAGTGAGGTTGGTTTGTTAATGCTGTTCTCAGACAGAGTCTTGCACGCAACTAAACATCCTCTGGACAAATCCAGGCCATTTGAAACACATTATCACATTCACATAGACTCAGTTTCAAATTTGCTTTCAACAGAACTACACCCAAAAAGGCAACTCAATGTCCCGCTTCTTTTCCTTTGTCTTTGTCCTGACCACACTGTCAGATAGACACCTCCCCCGATCTGAAGCCAGCTTTGATTCTGCCATTGTGTAGTTCTCTGTTTCTGTTGTCAGCCATTTTGTTTTGTAGGCCAAACGGCCCTTTGATTACCACACCCACCTTTGTTTCTCTCTCTCTCTCTCTCTCTCTCTCTCTCTCTCTCTCTCGCACACACATACACACCAAGCTTGTATATAGTTAGCTAGTTAGAATTTGTGTGTTTTGGTTTTGCTTTGCTTCCTTTATGAATAAATCTATATTTTTGGAATCATACCCGCTGTCTGTTTAATGTTGCACAAAAGTGAATGAATAGTCAACCTCTGCTGTGTCAAGAACTCCGAAATCCTTCAGTCTTTGCTATTAAATTTGGTTATTGTTATTAATTTAAGTATTAATCAAAAATTTGGTTATAGTTTAACTTCATGAGACTGATATCTTTAACTGGCTATCATTTTTCCCTTTTCAGAAATGGTGCCCCACGAGGTGATTTAATGTAAATTAAGTCACATTATTAATTTAATTATTAATTATTTCAGATAGCCAATTTGATACTTTAATTGGAGATCTATTACGAGGTCAGGCCCATGTTAAGGCTTAAGTCCCAACAAATGGTGCCGCCATGTAAAACATTGCATTGGTGCCTAGATCACAACAAATAGTATCCCCTCTTCTATAGTATCACCAGTAGATTCCCTACATTTTTGGTGCCTCCGTATGACGTCCAGTATTGTTTCCAACATTTATGGTGTTCCCCGTGAGGCCTAATATTATAATTTACAACATTAATGGCCACCATGTGAGGCCCAGAATTTGTCCAACAATGCTAACATGCTAATGCTAAGCAGCCACAGTGTTTTAACATGCATATATTTAGCACTAACAAATTTAACAAATAGCACTTAACACAAAGTGCAGCTGAGGCTGACGAGAATGCCGTTAGTTTTGTGGGTTTTTGGTTATAAACCAAACTATTGAAAAAAAATGAAATTTTGATCAGATGATGGCTCAAAGGAAAGTTAAGGAACCACTGAAGATCTTACAGTTCATCCTGAGGGGGACACAAATGTCTGAATCGAATACAGTATCAAGTAAATCCATCTATTAGTTTTCAAGATGTTTAATTGAAAGCCAAAAATGTCAACCTCATGGTGCTAGATGGAAAGTCAGGGAATCATCTGAGTTGTTACAATGCATTCTCTGGGTGCATCCTCAATTTCACCTACTAAGTCGCATCAGCAGAGTTCTCCAGCGGTACCAGAGCAGCTGTCATGCCCAGCTTTGGCTATTTGTAGGGTCTACATCACTAATTCATCACATTCCTCAGTAAAATCTCAATCATCATCATTATTAAACATCAGAAATATGATCAATTCATAGTGCTCATGTCGAAACACACCTTATATCACCTACAGCTGTCTCAACAAAAACTGTGTGTATGCCTGGTCTGAGATTTGTGTGAGGTGTGAACATTCTCACCGCACACTTTCTTTCTAAACATCAGGTTTTGTGTGAGAATAGGCATACACACGGTTTTGTGCACATCCATTTTAGTTTATTAATCTGGTCCGAGGTATGTTTGTAACCAAAATTTTTTTTAACAACTTAAATGTGGAAATTAGTCAAATTAACATGTTACATAATAGGAGGATTAAATTCATACTGTTTGCATGGGTAACATAAGGATCAAGGCTTATAAGAGAATAAAAGGTGATAAGATAGATGCCACAACCATCTATGTTCCCTATGTCACTGCATTGCAAAAGTGACTGCAATAGAAAAAAAAAGGATTTGTACAGTTCACTAACCTTTTAGAAACTTTTGCATCCCTGGGGACCAAAATTTTTTGCACTATTTCAAATCTAACATTAAAAATAAAATTAGGAATCAAATGTTGGTAAGTGTTAATTGCAGATTATATTATAAAAACAGGAAGACGAGAATCTCTTTTCTGAGGGGCATAACCTTCCTCACACACAAACAAGCAAGCATGGAGACACACACAGACACACACAGACACACATACACACACACACACACACACGGCTAGCATTTCGCTAGCATTTCGCAGCTGACAGTCAGGTTGTTAGGGTCGACACATAGCTAAGGAGGGGCCAAAAAAGGTGAAAAGTCAGACTTACTGGCCGGCTGTGAAGCAACACCAGCTTGGTGACACGAATGTTGATCCTGACTCCCAGACTCTGGTGGTGGAACATGTTGTAGACCTGCAAGAGACAAAGCGACACCAGCAGAAAACAAAATGTGTGGAGGACAGAAAAATGAGCAGAGTTGTATCAAGTGATTTCTTATGGTTCTGTTTTATGTTGATATTCTAAATGAGACACAAGCCACAGACACTATGTAATTTTGGTTTTCTGTTTAACCAGTATGCCGTTACTTCAGAGCGCTTGTTTGACACAAATGCCTCCCTCTGGCTATAGGCCTCAGTGTCAGGGAGGTTGGTTATCTTGTGTGGTTATGCCATCAAGTCTGAAACAGCTGAAGCAGAGTGAGCCAAGAAAGGAAAGAAGGCAGCAACATGCACACCCTTTCTCACACATACAGTATACACTGCATGCAGTGACACATAACCACCCAAGCCATGTAAGCTCAGATGGGCATCTACCAAATTGCCTTCAAAAGAAGAACAGAAACTGTATTTGACTGACTGAAAAAAGACAAAGTAAATTATATTGCTGCCTGCAAAGCTACTCCCAAGATGTCATGTTACAATCATACTGGTCTCATACTGGAAGACCACTAAAATGATTAGTACAATATCAATAATTCTAAGAATGCATATTGTGTTCCTTTTCAGGTTTATACTTTTATTTCTGGTTTCCACTATTACATGTTTACATGCTTTGACCCATCTGGCACTGGACATCAACATGACATTAGAAAGACGTTGGACTCTTACACTGGACTTTAAATTTTGATTGGAATGAAAACTGGGTTGACTATATTTTAATTGTCTAATAATATTAGAATTTCATGTTGTGTGGATGTCAATATTCTGATATTTTGTAGACTTACGGTTTTGTTCTCCATATCTTACAACCTAATGTCATTATTCTACGTCAAGATGATGTTGCCATGAGACACGTGAAAGACTTGGTGACTTAGCAGAACAACTTAAAAACAACAAAACATCAACGTCATCTGTCGTAAATATTCTAACCTACATTTAGCCAAATATCAATGTCTAACAAAGTTGGCAGCCAGCTGGGAATGTTCAAAAGACACAATATAGTCTCAAAAACTGCATACTGATGCAACACCTGTATTCACCATCTTTCTGAAACACTCTGTTTAAGTTGATGGCCTCTAGTTTCGCAGACCAGGCGAGGCGGAGGTGCAGCGCACCTGCGCTTCGCCAACTGGGTGTGACCCGGCAGATTTTGCAAATTTGGCACACCGTGCACGCTGACGCAGCTACTCCTCTTTCCCACCTCCGTCCCTCCTACCTGTGCATCATATGTGCCCCTCTCTTCGCCCTTAAATGCGCCGCGTGGAGGCATAATGAGAGTTTACTCAATTTGCCATGGCAAAAGAGAGCGGCAGCATCAGACGGCCAAACTTCTCCCAGGAGGAAACTGATGTTTTGGTCCGGGAGGTCCAAGCTCGCAGTGTCCGAATATACAGAACTGCGAGCAGACCTCCATGGGCTGATGATGCAAAGGTAGCCTGGGAGGAGGTCACCACAATTGTAAATCAATGTTGCGTTTCTCTCATGCGCTCTCTCTTTCTCTCTCGCAGTCTCACTCTGTTTCTTTTCTTTTGACTTTTCTAAGATGACAGATGCTGAATATATACTCCCTATCTGATGCTGTGGCTGTTTGTGGTTGGCTGAGAGGGATGTGAACTCATTAGTTTGCAGCTGTGTTAATCAAATCAGGCTGGGTTTCCATTACACGTGCCAAACATGCCAAACGGTGCCAATCCCCTTTGATCTGACATCAGATGTGACGGGACAGTCAATATAGAGATACATTTATGTGCTGATTGCAGATAGTTGCATTGAATAGTGGTTTTTGTGGGTATTTATTGAATCGTTAATGTGCCTGACATTCTGGAGACCTGCCTGTGAGGTTTTGGTGACATGTGCGAACTGTCCGCGGTCAGCCAAACTTCGGCTTACACCAGCTGTGCTCCGCCTGCGCTGACAGTAGATCTGGTTTCAGCTGGTGAGCTTTTAGCGCACCTTCGGCGAAGTCTTTTGGCACGAAACTGTCACTGCGCCAAGCTGGATCTGTCAACACCTCCCCCTGCTGCGCCGCCACACCCATCTCACTGCACCTCGGTCTGCCAAACTACGAAACTGAGCGCACCTCGGGTTGCGCTGCTCAAAACTAGCTCTGCGCGGGGTTCTCCACCCTGCGCCACCCTGCGCCGCGCCGGGAAACTAGAGGCCCTTGTCTCTCCAAGGCCCTCCTCCCAAAAAGCCCAGTCCACTCTGACTGATCGTTCTTTCCAGTCTTCCAGAAGCATGCAAGGAGGAGGCATCTCAAAGCAGGGCAGAGAAGAACCTCAATGACAGACAGGAAATGATGCAAGAGATGTTGACGTTGGCAAAATAAATCCCATAGGCTTTTCAGACAGGAAATGTTACAAGGGCGAAGCAGCAGGCCAAAGACGAGTTTCAGGCTAATGGCCTCTGATTACATCCATGGCTCCAACTTAACAGTAAAATAAGCTGGTGATGTTACAATATGAAAACTTTAAGTTGCAACTCATGTTTATTATACAGCAGGAAGAGGGAAAGAATAGAGCATGGAGACAAGTGAGAAGAGAGAAAAACCAAGCGAGAGACTACAGACCAGCAGCGGAAGACATATTAAGATCTTTTACTTAAAGAGGCAACAGATAGGATTCAGGTTTTTTTTTTAGCTTGGCGCCACCTAGTGACCAAGCCCGGTTCTAGGCAGGCACATATGAGGGGGCAGTCACAAATGTGAAGGGGGCACCATGCTCCAGCACATTTTTGCCATAGGTAGAGCTGACAAATAAAGGTCACTCAGTCAGTCAGTCAGTCAGTCAGTCAGTCACTCACTCACTCACTCGCAGGATGTGGGGACGCTGTGTGAGTGCCCTATAGAGGGTGTCAAAGCACTGTGGTCTCAAATGTGTTCACTGCTTGTTCTGTTGTTGATAACAGTGTTTTTAGAATGGAATTGGGCTGTTGTTAGCTGTGTGTCCAACCCCCAACCTAAAGAAATGGATTGCACTTTGTCAGGCCTCTACCCTAAGACCTGTCCAACTTGGGTGTCCCACCTGAAGACTAAGCTCCTGCTGGTATAGCTCTTAGGGTCACTGAGGCACACAAACCCCCTGACCACAATAAGGTGGCAATCCCTCAGGGAGGAAAACTGAAAAATAAAATAAACAAAAAATTATATAAAAATTAAGAAAAAATAAAATAAAAATATCCTTCATCCAGGCACAACCAACATCTTAACATGTATCTTATTGGATGGCCATTAGGCATCTAGACATATGAAATAAATTTGAACCTAATAGTTACAATAACCTCACTATAGCCAGTATTTTAACAGAACTAACAAACACAACAGATATAGGCTAGAGCAGAACATTTTATATTTTTTTGTTTTGTTTTGTTTTTTGTCATTTTTTTTGTTTTTTGTTTTTTTTGTTTGCAATTTAACAGATTTCTCTTCACTCTCCTTTGACCTGCTGAAAGCTGCAGGAGTGAAAAGTTAATAAAAACTTTGTAAAAATCGCTGTGATTATCAAAAAACTGTGCAGAACTAGAGGCTGGGCGGGGCTTTATGTAGGGGTCTGGCACACACAGGGCATTTGTCCTCAGTATGTGACATGCAGCAGGCACTCATCTCTCACTGTGCTTGTGTGATTGAAGAAACGTTCGCACTGACAGGCTCACTCTCTATGCTCACACTTTGTTGTTAACTATATATTAAGTATCTCACGACACGAGACGCTACGACGAGTTTAACAGAGCTTCACTTCACTGCTGCATTCTGCCTCACAGAGACTGAGAAACCTGACACCGATGCACCTTGGCTCATTTGCATACTAAATAGTGATTGGGTGTTTACTGGGGGGAGGGTCTCTGCCGACTGCAGACAGTAACGTTAGAGCACACACAGCCGGCACACAGCATGGAGTGGAGTGGAGACAGATGAGAAAACTTTTCAGTTTTGTGCCTTTTTCGGCGGATTTGATTTGAGGGGGCAAGACATTTGTTTAAGGGGGCATTGCCCCCTCTTGCCCCTGCGTAGAACCGGCCTCGCTAGCGACAGCAGTATTGCTCGCACTGTCGCAACAACCAAATTGACCGTGGGGATCAGAGATAATCAATAAAATGTAGGCTGTAAAGCCACCAGTATACCTCTATGTGTATGTAGAATGAAAAGGTGTGTGGACACTCTGCTAAATAAATGAGTAAAGAGACTGAGCAACAATTATCAGATGTATCTGAAGAAATAACAAATAGTAATGCAAATAATTATACCAGAAGGCACAGTACCAGTACAAACAACTCACAGTAAATTATACCAATATGTACAGTATCAGTACAAACAACAGTAGACACATAAGGGATAATGTATAGTGAGCCGGTGACGCTGAAAAATAACAGTTATTTTTCAACTGTCACCGGCTCACTATACAGATACATTATCCCACTTAGAACATGGCTGCGGAGGCTGCCCTCAAATTTATGGCCAGTGACCGACATGATCTCCCTGCTCTCCAGGCCAGCTTGGGAGAGCTGTGTGGACTAACGTTAACTGATTTTGATGCTCCTCAGTCTAAGACCATTGCATATGGCGTCCCTAGCAACAGAGCAGCAGAGCAGCGGTGATACCTCAAGAAATAAACACTGCAGAATTTTGTTGATTGACCAATCAATCAATCAATCAAGTATTTAAGAGTGCCATGTTCTAGTGGAATTATACCAATATGCACATGTAGGCAGTCCCTATTCTAGAATAGACGGTACCGTACGATGCGGCCGGTTGGAGCTCAAACTGAATGGGAAACAAAGTCCAGTGTTCACTTAGCTGGGCGTAACTTAGCTGGGCGATGTCCATTGATAGCTGCCTCCGTGATAAGAGAACATAAGGAAGGGAGGGAGGTATCACTGTCTGAAGTCTGCTGTAGAATTGCAACGAGGATGTCAGCCAACCAACACACGCTACCCTGTCTCTGGTTGCGGCAATTTGCGATGCTGGCCAGCTAGGAATTAACTAGCAGCCAGTACAGTACAGTCCTCTTTCGTCTAGCTAACATTTAGCCGTGTTACTTATTGATCCACTAAAAAGAAAACTAGCTGGACATCGGTTTTGAAGTCTCTTTGGTCACGGAGCTCCCTCCATCTCTTGAACGCCTGACTGAGGTTTACTCTTGTTTTTCCTCTTCTTTTATCACTCTCCTTTTTGCTCTTCTTTGCCTCCTCAGACAGATGAGCTAGTTTTCTTTTGCTAGGTCGTTTTTCACTTGTTTCCAAACTTTTGTCCATCTGCCATTGTACTCATGACTCAACTATCTCATGCCCAACCCCTCATAAGGACCAGCTCCAGTCCCTGATTGGCTGACCGACCAGTTTTGCAATACATGACGTGTTTCCTGTCACAAAGCAGATTTTTTCCACTTAATTTTGGCACCAGTGGCAGAAGCTTATTATAAAGATTGCAAAGCCACTAAGTAACCTATGTAAACGCTAGTCTGATTTTACTGTGGCCACTACCCTGTGCAACCCACATTATTTTCATAATGATATATTTAGGAAAAGATGCTATCTGTTGCCTCTTTAAGTAAAAGTAGTAATACAACAGTATAGAAATACTTTGTTACAAGTAAAAGCCCTGCAGTCAAAATCTAAAACTACAAAATATTAGCACCAAAATATATTTGAAGAACAAACAGACAGCTCCTGTGTTCGCCATTGTGAAAATACGGAACAGGGAATAATGTGGCCTTTTTGAGCATTAAAGACAGTTTTTATTGGTTAATTCAAGTCATGTAAGTCATGTAAGACTGACCATTTGTCAGCCTGTTTTGTAATTTATTACAGGTGAGTCAAAACTGATTCTTTTTTTCTTCTTAACACATCTGAATTGCTAAAAGGATGCAATCTTTTATTTTGTACACTCATCCTGTTGCTTTTAAAAGCTGTTATTGTTTAGTCTTTTTCTGGATTAAACACTGCTCACTTTTATTTCAGGTTTCATTGTGTGTTTCATTCAGACCCCCCCATGCCACACACAAGCCTGCCTCGGAATATGAGTGAGGGCAATATGACAAAAGCCATACCGGCTCGAACGTCGCCCAGATTAACAAGGTCTGCATCAGCTGTTGAGGGGCTAGGACATGTTCATGAGAAGTTGGCTACTGGAACAAGACAAACATGGACACGAGATGAGTATACAGAATTGATGGAATGCTACTACAACAGCAGGCCCAAGGAGAGAGGCTACATGCAACCCATGTGGGACCAATGGGTGAGTGGGAGACAAAACTCCACACTGACCAAGAAGTAGTTGGTGGCCCAATGCTCTAACATCAAGAGGAAGAAACTACTATGATAGCTGGAACTAGAGAGGCAGAAGGGGACACTCCTGAACACCATGGAGATACTGAGCTAACCCCAGTAGAGGAGAGTAGTGCTAAACAACCTCATGATACCCCACCACCAGTCATGACACCTGCATCCACCAAGTTGAAGATGAAGATTGTGGACAGTCAATCCCCAGATAGGACTACCCTGGCTCACTAACAAAGTCCCACCAGAGGAGATGCTTGCAGATGTCAACACAGCTCAGAAGTGCAGACTGGGGTCATTATAGACAGGTCCTGGATGAATAAGAAGTACAACAAGATGTCCATAAGTGAGCCTCCAGAGATTGCCAAACAACAATTCACAGCTCTGGCTGCTAGAAGAGGTACAATAGAGATGCAGAGGCCAAGAGTATTCTCTTGGCCTCTGCATCTCTAGTGTACCTCTGGCCTGTTCTCCAAAGATCCATCAAGGGTCAATCAATAAATCAATTTTATTTATAAAGCCCAATATCACAAATCACAATTTGCCTCACAGGGCCTTACAGCATACAACATCCCTCTGTCCTTTGGACCCTCACAGCGGATAAGGAAAAACTCCCCCAAAAAAACCCTTTAACGGGGGGAAAAAAAAAAAAACGGTAGAAACCTCAGGAAGAGCAACTGAGGAGGGATCCCTCTTAAATTACGGACAGACGTGCAATAGATGTCGTACAGTACAGATCGGCATAATAAATTAACAGTAATCCGTATGACACAATGAGACAGAAAGCGAGACAGAGAGAGAGAGAGAGATCCCAGCTGCAAGGGAACAACAACACAAGGACAAACCAACCCACAGCTGAGACTGAGTAATACTGCAAGGGCAACTGGAAGAAAGAGGCATCACATAACACTGATGCCAAGTGGCTAGTGGACCTATAAGCAGACTACAGCAACCTCCCAGAACAACAACAACAACCAGTCACTAAGGCACACATCCAACACTGAGTATCAGGCATGAAGAGCTGACACCACCAGAACCTGACATGATCCACTCCTACTGGCTGAAAACTCCGTGTTCGCCTGGAAGCACAAATGAGTGAGCTGCTGGCAGCCAGCAATCACCCAAACTGGCTATCACAAGGCAGGACAATACTGATCATGAAAGATCCCCCACAAGGGCGCAACACCTTCCAACTACTGGCCAATGACCTGTCTCTGCACAACATGGAAACTCCTCTCAGATATCATAGCAGCTAAGCTGAGTAGGCACATGAGTCCATACATGAGCAAAGCTCAGAGACTCTAAGACTATACGCACCAACCTGAGCACTGCCTGGATTGACCACAAGAGAGCCCACAGCTCAGTGCCCCACGCATGGATACTGGAGTGCCTGGCACTAAAAGACAGCACACTGATAGCATTCACCAAGAACTCAATGGGGCTGTGGAAAACAACACTGGAAGCTAACTCAAAGGCCATAGCACAAGTCACCATCAAATGTGGCAAGTACAAAGGTGATGCGCTGTCCCCACTGCTGTTCTGCATAGGCCTGAACCCCTTCATCCAACTCAATACAAAGGGTGGCTACGGAAACTGGATCAACCTCACCCGGATCTACAGCAATGACATCAGAGTTTCATTTGGACTAGATAAGCGTGGTTGGATGATATCAAAGAGAGGGAAGATAATCAGAACCAAGAGGGGTTGAACTACTAGAAGGCAGCTTTGCCGATGTTCAGGACAGCAGCAAATACCTTTGGGTCCTGCAGACAAATGGGAACCATGAGGAGGCTGTAAGAAAGTCAGCCACAGCCAAATACCTACAAAGAGTAAAAGCAATTCCTGAAAAGTTGGCTGACTGGAACGAACAAGGTTTGAGCCATCAACACGTATGTCCTACCAGTCATCAGAGACCCCCTGGTATAATTAGCTGGCCAAAGGAGGAGATAGAGGCCACTGATATCAAGACATGGAAGCTTCTCACCATACATGGAGGGTTTCATCCCAAGTCCAGCACCTGTGACTGTACACTAAACATAGAAAGGGGGGCTAGGGACTGGCAAGCCTCAGAGCGACTGTCCAGGATGAAAGAACCAAGATCCAGGAATACATCAGGAAGTTGCCCCCCAAAGATGAGCTGCTAAGTGAATACATCAAGCAGCGGAAACCAGATAATGCAGAAGAGGAGGATGAACCATCATGAAAAGACAAGCCCCTGCACAAAATGTACCACTGACAGACTGAAGAAGTGGCCAACATCAAGAAATCCTACCAGTTTCTGGAAAAGGCTGGACTTAGAGTTAGCACAGAAGCACTAATCATCACAGCACAAGAACAGCTACTTAGTACAAGATATATTGAAGCAGGGGTTTACTTCACCAGACAGGACCCCAGGTGCAGGCTGTGCAAAGATTCCTGAGACATTTCAGCATATAAAGTTTATAAGTTTATAGTTTTTAAGTTTAAGTTTATTTACTTTATTAATCCCCCTGAGGGGAAATTCAGTGTTTTCACTCTTGCTTGTCAATTACACACAGGTCCAAAAGACACACACATGCACAAACAGGACCTATACATGCACAAAGTGGAGAGATGTCAGAGTGAGGGGGCTGCCCTTGGTGAGGCGCCCCGAGCGGTTGGGGGGTTCGGTGCCTTGCTCAAGGGCACCTCGGCAGTGCCCAGGAGGTGAACTGGCACCTCTCCAGCCACCAGTCCACGCTCCACATTTTGGTCCGGACGGGGACTCGAACAGGCTACCCTCCGGTGCCCAACCCAAGTCCCTATGGACTGAGCTGGGCTGGAAGTCTCAAGGTCAGAATGGAAGACACTCTCTAAGGTGGTTGAGAATGACTGAGCTAAAATCTTGTGGGACTTCCAAATCCAGACTGACAAACTATTGATGGCTAACCAACCGGGCATCATGTTGATTGACAAACGGAAGAAGGCAGTGACGATTGTAGTGATTCCAAGTGACAGCAACATCAGGAAGAAAACACAAGAAGCTTGAAAAATACCAAGGGCTGAAAGAGGAGCTAGAAAAGATGTGGGGAGTTAAGGCACCAACGTTATTTCCAGAGAGCTGAGATGATAATGTTTCTAGGATTCTTACCATGTTCATGACTGTCAGTAGGAACCTCTGTGCTGCCTCGGCACCGTGGTACTGCACCATGTCAGAGTCTGCCACCACCACTGTTTCCACAGTGTATGCTTCGTGCAGGCGAATGGAGTTTCTTTTCCCACGACCCTCCTCACCAACTTTTGACATCTTCTCCTTCTTCTTTCCTACCACAAAAAGGCCGACAGACAGACAGACATGAAGAACAATGTTATAAACACCACACTGGAGGTAAACGTTACACAGGTACTCATATTCTGACCTTTTAGAACCACATTCAAAGCAATATTTTGAGCTGAGTGAACCAATGTGTTAACACAATAGAGGTCCTGATGTGTTTTGGCAAAACAATTTTAACAACGCTCATCATTTGCCACACCACAATGCGACACTATCTAGCAGTGAGACTGTCAACACAACTTGTAAACTCCTCTTTAATTAGACATTAATACAACTTCAAAGTCATGGATGTACCAGCCCCCTTGCATCATATTTCATTTCATTACCAATATCAGTCACATAATGCCCCCACCAATGCAGCCTGAACACCATCTAACTGTTATATCCAGAGGTGGAGGAAGAATTTTCTCTATGTAAATACAATACTCGGGAGTGCTGGCAGGAAACCAGCTGATGTGGCTGTCCCTTTCTGTGAAAGTTAGACCCTGCACGCAGGAATGAGATGGCATATCCTTCATAGAGTGTGGGCATTGAAATTACTTTTTTCACATTCTGTACCACTTTCTGTGTCCACTATGTGGTGCTGGAGAACACACTGATTATATGCCATGTTGATGTGAATGGTGCAACTCCACCATGCAAATTTCAGATAAATCAAAAGATAACTGTCTGACAAGTCTTAAGTCCTGTTGCCAGTAAGTGGCGCAATCACCATGACACCCAATGTGCATGTAGTTGACTTCAGGCCTGGAACCTTATAAAACATGTGAAGTTTGGGGCAGACAGGACCACGTATGCTGGAGTCACAAACCACTTCCTGTTTGGTGGCAAAACATTTACATCTGACACCTCAATACAGTCACACAGTTTGACAAATACTCAAGCTTTAAGCAACTTTTGATGTCCAAGGTCTTTAGACAGAACAGACAAAATCTGAAGTCAATCAGATCAAATCTGTAGGAGGAGTTTGTTAAAATACGACCCTGGGAAAAGGCCAAAAATTGTACAAAAGTTGCAGAGTAAATTCAAAATGGCTGTCTTCAAAAGACTTTTTGGTAACACTTTATATTAAGGTACTGTAATAAGCATTAATTAATGCTTAATAAGCACCAATTAACAGTTAATGAGCACTTATAAAACAGAATAAGATGTTTATTACCATTAATAAGACTATATAAGTATTAATTATAGCATAATTAAAACAGTTATGCAGTATTAGGGCCACACTGAAGATAAAAAAAATTGGAGATTTTGAGAATAAAGTCATAATATTTTGAGAAAAAACTCGTAATATTTCAAGAATAAAGTCGTAACTGAGAAAAAGTCATAATATTATGAGAATAAAGTCGCAATTTAATGAGATAAAAGTCATAATATTATGAGAATAAAGTCATAATTTAATGAGATAAAAGTCATAATATTATGAGAATAAAGTCGTAGTTTTTAAGGAAATAACCAACAACAAATAGAATGGGTTAGAGGATGAACCTGCTTGTGGCAGCTGCTCTTTGTCTCAGGTGTGTTGCCTCGACACACACATTTGGAGGCAGGTCTGGAGTGGGACTCATTTTCAGCCCTGGAGTTTCATGCCTCAGACCGGCCCACTTTAGATCACGACCTATTATAGCCTTACATGTTAAGTCTACAATAGTGCACTGTTCTTTAAAGCCTTGTAATTCAGTGTATTTTTCTAAACTATTTCCAATTCAGTTGCTTCACAATGTAGATTTATTTCAACATGAGTGCACATCTCCAACATTATTCTTTACAACCCAACATCACATCACAATTTTTTTTTTCTTCAATATGGCCCTAATACTCCGTCGTATATAAGACACTATAAGACCCTATCAGATTAAATTAATAAGGTGTTATTAATAGTTAATAATGATCCTTTGCAGCTACCGGATCTAAAGTGGGAACAGTGTCGTAAAGGTTAATAAATTATTAATATGCTCTCAGGGCTCGAAACTAACAGTGTCCCGACGTCCCAGGGACTATAAAAATTGCTACTGGGACACAAAGATGATGTGTCTGGGACAATTCCGGGACAGCAAAAGCGGGCAACATAGAACCCGGGAAACATAGAACCTTTTTTGTGTAAGCAGGGAACATAGAACCTTTTTTGCAGGGTTAAGTAGGGAACACAGAACTCGGGAAACATAGAACCCTGGAAACATAGATACGCTCCCTTCCACACAGCCACAGGGTCTTGTATGGAGTCGGTCTGTATCTTGTTTCTCCTAGTTAAGTAGACTGCTAGCTTTGCTTCTGCTAGTAAATAGTTAGCTAGTTGACATTTTGACTTTTCTAATTTGTTTTGCTTGACTCCACAGATAAAACAGGGCCAGAGAACGCAATGTTAAAAAGGTTAAAACACCCGTTAAAAAACTTAAAAAAAAAAAAAAAAACAGTGAGTCTGCTGCACTCAGTAAAAACATGGAAGATGTTTTCTGGTAAACCACAGAACTGACACTTGTTTAAAACACTCTGGGCCGAATTCACAAAAGGATTGCGTGGCTTTTGCGGCCGCTAAACCGGTAAAAATGGAGCAAACAGATACCGTCTAATTCACAAAGCACGCGCAGAGGGTGAAATGCTCCACTAACTGCACTGCCAAGCAGATTGCGTCTTTGTGCTCTGGTGTTATTTGCACATATTTAAATGAGGTAATATGCATATATTTGCCGCAAAAATTGCCCCTTTCTGCGCAAATGAGCCTCATTGATAAACAACGTCTAATTCACTTACACCAGCGCTAATAGCCACACGCAGTTTGAGTGAAGTAAATAACGTCTTTAGAAAGCTGGTGCAAAGTGGGCGCTCCTCTGTGGAAGCCTCTCGCCCAGACTTTCCAGTGATCGTGGCAGCAGTGATCGTCTGTTAAATCAGTCTGTAAATAATATTTTGACATTATTATTATAATCATTAGGCCCTATTACTTTAATGGCATCCGAAGATATTGATGCGTTGAACAGGTGACAGTCTGCGGTCGTTCTCAAAACCCACTTCTGTCACGCACTTAAAAAGCAACTTTCAAAAATTTATTTTACGAAACGGGGGAAACAAACGTGAACAAAAACTGTTCCATAATTCATATTAAATTCAAAAGATAACTAAAAAACATCTACAAGTGAGAGGGAATAGTGATAAAGTGGTCAAACTTGGTCAAATCCACAGCCTCAACCCATCCGACACTGTTAGACTGACTCACCAGCAGACATCACTACATGAGGGTAGACAGTATTCAGTACTTTGCCAAACAAAGTCTGCCATTGTTCTGCCATGGTGTTCTTGGCGCAAAGCCATCATTTATACTTTGCCATGTGGCTAATTGCAATCAGGGGCAAATCAGGGGCAAACTGCACTCAGCTGCCAAACTTTGTGGGCGTGTTTGCGCTGGTATATCATTAGCGCAATATCCTTTGTGAATAGGACGTTAAGACAGAGCAAACTGCGGGTGCAAGTGAAGTGCAATTCAAGGTGCTATCAGCGGCCACAGTTCATTCTTTGTGAATTCGGCCCTCTGATTAAAAGCGGAGATAAAACTGTTTGTGGCGATGGCTCCATGCAGGATCCTCCACTGGAGATCTCTAGTCCACTTCCTTACTGGAGGTTTGTAAAGACATGTCCACTGTGGGCGCTGTCTCTTCAGCCTCTACTTCCACACAGTGGGCTCTCCGTTACAGAGGTTTTTCCTGTGGATGATTTTCACACAGTCCATGTCAACTTTTTTCCGTTCCGTTGTTGAGGCTGACCTTTTTCCTGTGACAGTCTATCAGGAGGGGGCCACTCAACTCTGTGAGGTCAGGGGTCAGGTAGATCTCGGGGAAGTCTTCCATGGGGTCGGGCTCAGCTCCACCTTCGTCGTACTGCAGAAGGAAGTTCTTCTCTTTAGCTGAGAGCTTCTGCCTCCACAGCTCCAGGCTCCTCTGCACCAGCCAGACGGAGTGCACGCCCAGCGCTGACGCCGTGGCCCGGGTATCGGTGAGCACTGGCCCTGCTGAAAACATCAGCTGTTTCAGCGTTATCAGGTTTTCCCGGCACAGCGCCCCCCCTCAGCCCAGGCATGTTGTTGCCACACGCATCCAGTCTGGCTCCATTTATTAGCGGTTCTTCTAACAACCAGTGCATAGAGTTACACTTTTGGGATCTTTCCCAGCTAAAAAGCAAACAGGATTTAAAAACACCCTGATAACATTTTGGTAACCCATTTAACTTTAAAAATCTAAGATCAGTTAAAAACAGAGCAGCATCCAGTCCCAGGCTGTTAACATGTCTGAAACAGCTGGCCACGTCCCTCCACACTAAGTCAGGTGGTCCTGTTAAAAACCTCTTAATGAACTGTAATCTAAAGGTGGCTGTTCTGCTGGCCAGGTGGACGAGGCCCTGTCCCCCCTCCTCTCTGGATAAAAACAACACTGACTGTGGCACCCAATTCAGCTGATCCCAGAAAAAAATCACCATCTTAGCTTGAATTTGTGCCAGCAGGCCTGATGGTGGATCCAGGCAAGCCAGTCGGTGCCACAGCAGGGAAGTGACTAAGTTGTTTAAAATCAAGACTCTCCCTCTGTACGACATTTGGGGATGGAGCCACTTCCAATTTAGCAATTTAGAGTCTATTTTTTCCATTATGTTTTGCCAGTTTTTCGTGATAATTTTTCCGTTGCCTACATAAATGCCGAGGTATTTGAGACAATCTCTCTTCCAAATTAGGTTTTGAGGGAGAACTGGGAGGCCTTCGCACCATTTCCCGACTGCGAGGCCCTGTTCACCTTCGCAGCCGACACAACAGAGAACTTTTACATGATGGTCTCTAATGTGTTCACGTCTCTTTGATTTTTTATCAAGACCACAACATCATTAACGTAGGCAGATAAAACCATATTCTTTGTAAAACCAGGTAACAACCGACCTTCAATGTTTTGTCTTATTTTTTGGAGGAAGGGTTCTAGGGAGAGCACATAGAGCATCCCCGACAGAGCGC